GGCGTTGTGCTCTCCACCTTCACCGGGGTTTGTGCCGAAGAGGATGGTGTCGTTTGAGTGGGTTGAGCAGCGGGAATAAGGTGCGTGGTCGTTTTTAAAACACCAGACGATGGCTGATTGCCAGAATCGTCTTCATCCTCCCCCTCAATCCGCAGATCGTCTGGGAAAGGTATGTTGGCACCATTGCTGTGAAATTTAACACTTCTTTCAACTGCAACAGTGCGCTTCCCTTCAAGGTAAACCCTGTGGCCGCTGCTAGCTTCATCATACCCCACCCATCGGCCCTCCTTCGCGTGCATGTCAAGCTTTCCAGCTTTGTCGTCGTGTACCCAAACTCGCGCTCCAAAATCGGGGAGCTTCGCCAAGTTGGGTTTCTTGTTGTAGACGGCCTCAAACGGCGTCTTTCCGTCCAGCGCGCGCGTCGACAAGCGGTTCTTCAAATAGACCGCATGGGCAACTGCTTCACCCCACAAAAACTTGGGCAACCCACTCCCGTGTAGCATCGCGCGAACGCGCTCCCAAAAGCGTGCGATTTAATCGCTCTGCGATGCCGTTGTGCTCGGGAGTGTCGTGGACTGTAAAGCCACGCTCTGTGCCTTGTTTTGCAAGGTGCTGGTCAAATTCCTCGCTCCAGAACTCCCCTCCGCGATCGGAGTGGAGTTTCCGAATCTTGACGCCAAACTGGGTCAAGAGCCAAGCCTCGTAAGCTTGGTACGACCCGAACGTCTCGGCCTTGGTGCGCTGAAGATAGACGCGTGACCAGCGAGTATGTGCATCGGTAAAACTCGAATAATACTCACGCCGATTAATAGTTTCGACGGGCGATGGGCCCCAGACATCCGAGTAGATGATCTGGCCCATATATGCGGCTGGTTCCTCCTTTCGCTCCTTGCCTATCGGCTTGCGGGCCATCTTGCCATACGTGCACGACTCGCACGAGTCGATCTTCGACTTCGGGTCGATCTTGATGCCCGCGACATGCCCATCTGACACGAGCCGTTTCGCGGCATCTGGCGCAACATGGCCAAGACGACGGTGAAGCTCCTCAATGGAGAGTGTCTCCTCGACAGTGGCAGCGGCTGCAGTTACAGTCTCCCAGTTGAATGGGGACTGAACACGGTAAGTGCCTTTCATCTTGTTGACAATCCCGACCAGTTTTTGATGTTTACTGAAGATCTTGCAGAAGTTCTCGCGGAACAAGACTGCGTAGCCTGCGTCGGTAATTTTACTGACCGAAATTAATGTCAGTCCGATCTTGGGTGCGTATAAAACACCACGTAACAAGATTTTCGTCTTGACGCCTTTTCCGTTAGGCAGCCAGACGTGCATATCGCCTTGGCCTATTGCCAAGAACGAGCCGTTGTCAGCGGCGGTGATCGAGCGTGGAGGGATGGAGATGTAGTTGAGGAGGCGATGTCGATATGGGGTAATATGGGCCGATGCACCCGAGTCATACAGCTCGGTCATCGTGTCTTCAGGCCCATCTTCGTTGGCAAGCATAGCCATGCTGTACGACGAGGTAAGTGGGTCGCTTTCGACATTATCGAGCCACTCGTTGATTGTGATTTCAAGATAATCAACAATCTCATCACCATGCGATGCCTTGTTGTCGCTGTCCAAATCCACATGGTCAGCAATATCAGGTGAGTTGGATGAGCACTCATCCGCTTCTCCCATCTCTGATACTTTATAAGACGCATTTGACGAGTTCTCAAACTCGTCTCCCATGTCGCTCTCATCGTCCCACTCACTAGCGGACGAATTCGACACCGATCGAAGCTCTGGCATCTCGCCACAGTCGCTTTCGTCGTTGCTTGTCGTTGAATCAACTGGTTCTGGTGAGTCGTCCGCAATAACCGGTTCTGGTGTCTTGAGGTCTTCATCTGATTCATTTTCAGACTGTTCTTCGTCATAATCCGTCGCTCTTCTTGGACTTCGACTTGAGCGCGCGTCTGTCGTACTCTTGCGACAGCGCGCTAATGAGGGTGTCGGGAGATAAAGTGCTTCCAAGCACTGTCGATGTAGCCGTGATGGCGGAAAGGTATGGGTCATACGAGGCGGGTAGCGACCCCAGGATGATGGCGACGAAGTTGTCGTCACCTGGGTCGGCTCCCATGCTGATCAGGTCGACGCGCAGCGCCTGCAGCTTTGAAAGGTGAGCTCTAACATCTCCGTTATCTGCGCAACGCTCATCTTGGAGTTTGCGGCGCAGATCAACTGTAACCATCTTCGACTTGGTTTCGAACTCATCGACAACCTTCTTCCATAGGCCCGAGGCCTTCGACTCACCCATAACCCGCAAAAACAAGGAATCGGGGATCGTCGCAGCAATAGCCTGCTTGATGATGGCCTCCCCTGAGGTAAACGTCGACGCAGCCTTAACATAGGCCTCATACGCGGCGACTTCATCTGGTTTCGATGCGGAAGTGGTGGGAGTGACAGGCGAGGGAGCAGCATGGGTGGTGAGGAGATGGTCTGCGAGTCCAGCGGCTGCCGCGGCGTAAGCGAAGCGGTTCTTGTAGACCGCCCAGTTGGAGCCTGTGGCTTCACACTTGGGCAGCCGCACGAAGAATTCGGCGGCCTTGGCGTTGGGGGCGTTCGCGGCGGACATGGCGATGATAGTCGATGGGGGTGGTAGTGGTATTTGGGTGTAATTTAGTTACGGCCGGGGCCCATAACCTGTTGAACGGGGACAAAAGGGAGAGGAAAGAACTAGAGTATATTGTAATTCTAGGACTACTTAAATACAAATTCAACTGGACAGTCATAGGTAACACACATGAGTAAGTAAGAGTGGAAATGAGACGGGCGCGTTGCGAGCGCCATTGAATATATAAGCACTGCCCAGCTGGGCAGTTCGTTGTCCATCTATCGTGTGTAGACGCGTCAGGACGCGTCAGGGCGTCCGCTTGGCGCGGTGCGGGTTTGCCGCGTCCAACACCAAGCTCTGGTGAGACCTCACTTTATGCTATATCCAACGCCGTTCTGAGCTCTCTCTAGACGGCGCAAGCTTTCTTTTTGAAACTGTACCCGCCAGCGTCTTCAACGACAAGACTCTGCCTAATGCGACGACGGAACAAGACCGAGGGATGAGAAAGGCATAACAGAGCGGCCTTGCGCGGAGGGAGTGAAAGCACGAGTCGAGACTGGGCTACTCGAAGGTCTGTCTGCGCTACCTTCTTCTCCATGCTTCGTCTCAGCGCAAACGTCTTCTTTTCCAGCCTCATCATATGCATGATTTCCCGAACGAGTACTCACTTCCTCCTCCGTCGCCAGCATCTTCGTTTACCCACCCCTCAGGCTCTTGTTCCTAACCACCACTCGCCCACCAGATATGCTGAGGGCCGAAATCCTCACCTGTTCTTCTTGGAGAGGAGCATGAAAGATACCAAAATCAAATAGAGAGGCCCCAAACCCCCCAAATGGTCGCAATACTGGAGAGAAGGAACACTCGTCAAGCAAATTGTCTTTGCTCGTTCCAGCGAATAGCCCCGCCAAAGTCATCTGCCCGCTACGTGTAACGCGGTCCACATTATACTTTATTGGGACTGCGAAGAACGAATGAGCAGTGGGTTAAACGCCGTGGTTACTTGCTTGGTCGACGGACGTTTCTTGGTAAGTCCGAATTCGCGCTTGCCTCGTTCTTCTGGTCTCTTATGGCTACCCAGCTGTCTATCGATCACCCTCATCGCCTTCACAACCATCTGGCTTACCGATAGCCAACGCTTTCCTCGGTTCCAGCTGTCATTCGCATAATCACCCATTTTCATTTTCCCCACCGCATTCTTTGCTCGAATCCCTTTACAACCGCGTCCAGTGGGCCTCCTCTCCATCCCACAAAATCCCTTCGCCATTTCGAGGTCGTGGCCGATTGCTATGACGGACACGTCAGCAGCCTTCGAGGCGAGGCAAGGCGACTTTGCCCGCCATACGGCCATGTCCTTGTTGCTTGCGCTCCTGCGACTCTTTGCGTGATTCAATCTCACGGGAAGCGACTTTCGGAACATTCAAAGCATTGAGGACCGAGGTCCCTCTCTCTTGGTCGTTTTCGGTGTACAAATCGACATCGACAATTCTGTGGGTTCCTTGGTCGCAAGCTCGGCCCCGACTTCGCCTGCACCATCTCTGGTTACCTTTGTGGCCGCTAAGGACGTCCACACATCGAAGTACCCCGGTTTCGCCACTTAACTTACCTTATTTGGAAGCGCAGGTCAATCGCCTTTGTTACTGGCCAAGTTACTTGTCGTTTTCCCGTTACTCTTACCAGCTCGTCCTAGATGTATCTTCTGTATCTACACCATACATTCCCCCCCACAACGACCTCATTCTTGCACCTTATATCGTCTTACATCATCGTTCGCAGACTTGTTTTTCCCAAGCCGCATCTAGGTATCTTGTTACAAGCAGCCTCTTCCGATATCTGTGCCCCCGTTCTTCATATTGTCATCTCCTCCACCCGTCACTGCCACGGGTATCGATATCATCACTATCTCTCATGGACCATGGTGGTTATCTGTAAGAAACCTTTGTTCTACAAGAAATTGGAATCTTGGTTTTGCAGCGCGGTACTGTTAATGCGTGTTCTCGAATGTACTGGGGCGGGCTACTCATACTTATATACATGTTTGCCAATCACGAGATGGCCTGTAATGTTTCCTGGCCCAGCCTCGCCGCTCAACCTTGCTCCAAGTCGTTGTGTTGTCCGGGTTGGGCGTCGACTCCGAGGATGCTACTGAATATTCAAGTTCACAGAATATTGAAAGCTGGACGGGTCGGCTGGAGCTCACCTACTTCAGCAGCTCTTCCCATGGCGGAAGATCGAATAACGAGGGTAAACGGTCCCACAATTCCCGCCTGCCCTGATTATGCGATGCTTTCCCGGAAATGGCGCACCGATGGCATAGATTTTTGGACCAGGAGGAACGCCAGCACCAGAGTCCCTTCAAAGGCGTCGGGCTGCAAAGCGAGGCGAACAACTCTATTCGGGTCAAAGGACAGATTCACGGTGTCAAGCACTCGTAGTGGCCCTTTGCGCGGAGCCATTTTGCTGTTGTCTGGCGCTGCACCTCCATACGCTTGCACAATCCCTCGAGTATCGCCCGACGGTCGGCCTCGGGCAGTGCCGCCGCGCGTGGCGTTACGAGCTGCGGTAAACGGCGTGGGGCGGTAAGTAGCCAAAAGGTAGTCGGGAGCAACTGTGGGAGGTCTATCTCTCGCGCCAAAATGCTAACTTCAAGCGCATATTTGTGTGTAGTTGCCACGGCCGAGTGACAGTCTGGGTCGGGCATAATGCAGGCTTCGACACCCGTTGAGGAAGTCCATTTGTCAAGGGTAGATGGATATGCGGTCGTTAGGCGCTGTACGGCGTTCTCGAAGAGCCAGGTAATCTCGTATTTCTTCCCAATACGCGCAAAAGCTTGAATGACGGGAAGAGGCAGGGGCTCGTTCTCTGGGTAGCGACTGGGAACCATGTCAATACGGGCCGAAACGGAGTAAACAAGCAATATCAATACTGATATAAGAGACGCTTGAAGACATAATTCAGATCGACGGGATTGTCTGACACGACCAGAATGGCGGCTGGCGTCAGTGGGTCCATGAGAGCCTTGAACTTGGGAGAATGGAGCGCCAGTTGGCTACGAAAGACCCGGAACTGCGTCCTTTGCGCTTCAATGACGATATTACCGTCGTCAAACCACACTTCAGATCGTATGATAGGCTTAGCTTCGTGGATACTAACAGCATGAAGGTCCACAGCATCTTCAGAGTCGGAGCGCTTTCGTTTGGGTTGCGGCTCGGCCATTATGAGTGGAATTGAGAGAAATACTGCAGTGAAAGACGCTTTTCGCTTGGTGCTGGTCGAGTAGAAAAGGCAACTTGAAGTACTGAGTAACGGATGTGACATCTTTTCTTTTAACTCTTTTGACTTCCGCCCACTGCTGTATCTCCCGCCAGCCAGACAGCAGGACACGACTAGGGAAGCTGTTCCTTCTATAGATGGGTTCTCTGGACATGAGTATAGGCCATTCGGTGCGTTTACCCATCCTTTGTAGATTCCTCGAGTTGACGACATATGAACCCTAAACCAGTAGTTTCGCGGCCTGGTGTGGCGAACCACTCCAGTCATCTCTCATTCGCGTCACGTTTGAACACGAGACACTCCGAGGGGGAGCTCTTGCTAGACGGGAAGGATTCTACAAAAAGAGCTCACCAGCTTTCTTCACTCTCGAAAAGTCACGGTCAACGGGGCGGGATTCGGAGGCAAGCGGGTGGTGAAGGCTGGCACACTGCTGCCCCCAACAGGACTGCCGCACGGACTGGCCTCTCGACTTTCAATGAAGAGATACCCGATTACATCGACAGTGGCGGGCTCTGCCTTTTGCTTTCTTTTGCGGGTTGCGACACGTTTGTCGAACGAACTCCGCCCCAGCACAACACATGGGAATTAAGTGCTCCTCTCAGACCCTTGCTCGAAATCTTGAGAAGATCGGATTCCGTGTGGAATCAGCGGTGTCCATTTCGGACTCACTTTTGGGTCAGTTAAAACTTGTCCTCCCCCGACTCTTCGTGCCTCTAATCCTTATCCAGCTCATCTTCGTCCATTATTCCACCTCAATTGCCATTCTCTCAGCCCCACGGCAACACGGTTCTCGATTCTCGCCCCATTTCAGCCTCTTCATGTACGATCAATCCACCACTTTCTTGGCTTCAACCAATGCCTTTGAAAGTGTCCCTGGTGGACCCTTTTCCCATCCGGAAAAAAGTTCTCTTGCCTTTGCATCCTCACCTCCTTTGTTATGGCCGCCACGTCAACGCCTTCTGGGGCGAAGGCAGACGATATGGGCCTCCGGCCGACCTCGTTCTTGGTGCTCGATTTCGAGCAACTTGTTGCATTGTCACCTCAACCGGACATTGTCCTCGAGAGTCGTTCAAGGCTTGCAAGCTCCACGACATGGTTCTCCTGGGACATTTTACGTGGACACTTGAGCTCGGCATTCCTCCACCGTCACCGACCACACTCGTCTTCGCGATTTCACATTCTAAATCTTCATTACCGGCCTCTCTCGCGCGGCCGCGAAGGATAGCCACAAGGGCAGATACTGCGATTTCGCCACCTACCTAATTGGGAAGGTGAAAGTGAGTGAGTGACAGAAATTTATGTCTTTCTCTCCTTCACGGCTGACATATATTTGTATAGTCTCCGGCGCAGGCTCTTTAGCTTCACCCTCCGCTTCCATTCGATAATACCCCCTGTCGGAACTGGACTCGTTCGTTGCGTCGAACACAACGCTCGCTACTCATTCAGTGTTTCCTTCCTACCCAACCACGTTGCGTGTGCCCACACCTTCATTATCGCAACAATTACCGACAATCTCGAAATACTGTCTTCCCCTTACACGTTCATGCTCGTTGTCGTCCATGGCGCTTGCCACAATGGCACACCCGACATATAGTCGACTTCGCTTTTTTCCGAGCCTTTGACCACCTGCTTGTATGGACCTTGCCCTTCATGGACTACAGGACTGACGGGAAACACGTTCAAGATGCCATATTACCGCTCCTCAAATCCATCTATTCCTGCTATCGTCCTCCACTTGAAGCTTTTCGCTTCCCATCCTCTTACCCCTTGAATCCGCTCTCTTGTTCCTTACTTTTTCATTATTCACGATTATGAGACTCCTCTTCTGCCACCAGCTACATTTCCATGGGCATCTCTAGATACTTCCCTCATATTTTACTTTATCGTTTTCCATGACACTAGTCAAACTTCCTGGATGCACAACTACCATACGATATAATTAGTTATTTACATCGACTCGTCATCCTTCTCCTTCCTTGCCACCAATTCCAAATCCACCAAGTCCAAATTCACTGATATCGCTCATACATACGTGTCTCCGAGAATACTCCCACAACATCCTACCATCTCCCTCCCGCTTCCGCTGCCGCTACCGACAGCTGCAATCCGAATGGATAGCCATATGACTTGGAGCGTCATTCAACTGCCTTTCGCCCCCGGACTTTTGGCTTTTCTTGAAGACGATGTTGTGAATTGAAGGCTTTAAAAGAAGGCAACCTGCGGCGGTTGAATCTTGATGTACACGCCCCAACGCCATCAAGAATTTATACGGCTTTCATTCCTCTTGTTGCAGAGCAGGAGAGTCTTGGTATGTGGTGTTTTGCCCTTGAAGCGGCGCGAGAGCTCGACGGCGTTGGGACGTCGGTATCAAACTACTGTATGGCGGCGTCAGTCCGAATCTTCAAACTCCGTTGTGGCCACTGGCCACAGTCACAATTACGCCACATGATATTCAAATCTCCGGCGTATATCTAGGTGCATAAATACCGGCGGACCCAGAAGTCTACCAGACTCCCGAGTTTTCATTCAAGTAAGTACCAGCGGTCATATCATGACCACTAGTACATTTTCATGGTACATCCTACACTTTGGTATTTTGACTGGAAGGATGAGGCTGCGCGACCGAGCTGGGCAAACAAGCTGCGATCTTTCAGCTCCGGATCCAAACACGGCGACGACTCGGACAAGTCGAAATCCCATGTTTTGCTTCCGGAACAGAATGTCCTCATTGACTTTGCGGTCCCCGTGAGCATTTTCAATCATCGCCATTCCTTGCTAGATCGCAGGCGGAAATATGTTGGCTCAGAGGAGTTCAAGATGCCGCCTGCTCTCCACCGGGCGTGGAACGGAGGTCTCAACGCAGACGCGCCGCGAGCTTTTCCTGTGCGACTGGTCAAGCCTTCCTTGCGCGGTAACATCGGCGTCCTTGATGTCGCGCATCATCCCGATACCCATGAGCTCTGTGTAAAATACAAGGTGCAGTGTGGCGGTGGGCCGAAGATATACGATGTGGTGCACCGTTTACGGGAATGGCTGCATGCCAGTGCCCCTGCTAAGGACCAGGCGGCCGGAGAACGGTCCAAACGTATCCGAATCAGGGAGCTATGTGGGAGCCGGGGGAGGAGCGAGACCTGGAGCAAGATTGTGCCTTTAACAGAGATTTCAGAAGAAGAGAGGGCGGGGGTCAAGAACCTAGACCTGTTTGAGGGATACACCGTCTTATTGGGCCTCTACCCGTCCCCGAATGTAAATGCTCGGACATTTGCATATGATGTATTCCTCGGGAAGGGTCCGTTGACAGTGCTTTTGGAGGCAGATGAGAGTGAGCGCGAGAGGTCGAATTTGTGGGGTCAATTGGCGTACGCAGAGCGTGACGAAGAAAGGAGGAAGGCGGCGCTAAAGGTAGGCGCTAGCCTGAGGATTTAAGATGCTGGAAACCGGAAACTGGAGACTGGAAGTAAACAGTGTGCGTCGTGGACTCGCCATAGCCTAAAGTGATATTGTCATGATAAATTTTCTTGCATAGATTGGCCTGGGCTTTGCTCCGGCGATGTCTGCATTTCAGGTCGGTACCGGCGCGCCGGCGGCGTAGTAGCTTCCACTATGCACAGTACGATAGTATCTAGCGAGCACAGAGTAAAGGTCCATACGTTCCAGGAAGAGCGAATAAATTGCGTCCAATCGCGCTTGATATTGCGTCGAAAGTAGGTGAATCGCGCTGACTCATCGGCGTGACACTTTTTTCTCTTCTTGACCACGACGACCACCTGGAGCGTCCCCAGCCGGCAGACACGTCAGAACACTTTTTTGCAGCGGCAGAACAAGCGGTATGCTTTGCTCTGCTTTAGAAGTCAGGCCTTTTCTTATCCTCTCATAGCTGGAAGCGAGGTTTTCGAAGTAGCAGCGGAGTTCCCCCATTCCAACCTCTGTGGCAACACCCATGACGAAAATGACTCCATCAAGCGCCTCAATATCCAGACCATCGGTTGAATCGTGTGGTAGTGCATGTTCATGGAGGGCTTGGACGTTAGCCGAGGATTTGGGCTCGAAGGTAAGCCTGCTCCTTCCCATATCTCTGCACGTCCTTGGAGCTCAAAGCTTCTCTTTAGCCAGACTCGTCGTCGTGATCCAAAGCTGTCAACGAGCTTCTGCCGCCTCCACAACCAACAGCACCCTCACTCAACCGCCTCTTTGCTCCTCCTACTCATCCGCCAAAAGACACGGTCAAGGCCGACAACTGCGTTGATTCGCCAACGATGTGGCTACTCACGCAGCTGGAGGTGCGAAGGAGGGCTTCTTTCAGCCGGGGAATGGTATTGTGAACGCCATGTGGCGGAAGGGACGGTTAAGACTTGCATGAAGTCTTGAATTCCGAGCTAGCCATGGTCATGCGTGCGTTAGCCTCACTCTCCTTGTAAATATTTGCATCCTGATCGATGCAAAGGGCCGCTTCTTTTCCAGACGCCATGGGCTTGGCTGTGTCGCGACACGGTCACCGACTTTGATTGCGGTAAGCCAAAACTTTTACTTTGGGCCTGTCTTTCGTCTTCCTGACAATACTCCAGCTAATCTATGGCCACTGTATCATCTCCGTCGACATTCAATATCCTGTGGACGACGATTTTCTTGCCTTCAGCTCCCATTCAGTTATTCCCCCATTTTCGTCCATTCTGCCGCTTTCTCCACGACAGTTCTTCCGAAAACGCAGGACGTGGACCTCATTTCTATGCCACGAACCCCGCATATCCTCTCGTAGTCATCGGTGTCTCCTGCGACCGACACGTTCTCACCCTTCGGGGCGAAGAAAGACTTTTTTCTCTGCGCACAATCCTGGCACCTCGTACATGCGCTACCGCGACTCCTTGCATGATAAAGACAAGCGGGAAGCAGCTTCCGAAGGAATTCGCGGTCTTCAAGGTCATTGTCGTGGTCGTTTTGGGTGACGAGTCGGAATCGGAAATCATTCTATGCCCCCGGCCGCAACTGTGCCCATTTCACATGTGATGTCTCTATCGCTGGGCGTGTCCGCGCTTGGGAAGGATAGGCACACCGGCAGATACAATTTCGCCACTTGCCTAATTTGGAAAGTCAGTCGACAAAACTTGTGGTTTTTTTCCCCTCTGAACTCATTCGTTCTCCTCCAGTCTCATTCTCTTCATCGACATATGCACCTAATTTGGCTCCAGCACAACCCCGTTAACCGTTAACGACCTCGCTCATGCGACTTTCCCCCCAGTACATTTCATCCTGCAGTTTCCTGTGCGCCAATCGCTTCGATATCACGGTCTCCGCTAGCGATATATTCAGTCTCCCCCTTCGGAGCAATCGGGGTTCTCTTTTATCAGCAGAGACCAGCAGTTGTAGACCCTTGAGGTATTCATTGCCTCGTCACTCGCTCCAAGTTTGCTGCACCGGTTCCACTCCTTCGAATTCCGGTTATCACTTTCCAACACCATCGCACGATTCCCCATTAGCAACAATACATATCCCTTTCGTCGTTGGCTTTCGAGCAAGGCTCACTTATATCCATCCTTCATTTCGATCGTTTGTCCATATGCAATATCTTCGATATGTACTTTTCCGCACGTCCCGTTCTTTCTTCGTGGACATTATGGACGTGCAATCCATAAAACATTTTACCGAGTACGACACCCATATATTATATATATCATACTTACTTGCGACTGATTACTACTCGTACTCTTCCTCGTCGACAGTCATTGCCCAAGCTTTGCCGTTCCGTTGCACATCCGTCCACCCTAGCCCTCTTCGAAATGCGGCTTGCGAGGCGGGGCAGCTGTCTGCGTGTCAGAGACAACAGGCGACCATCGTTAGAGCAACATACCCGGTCTTGTCGAGGTCCATTTGTCTCGTATCCGAAGACAATGCAGATACCCAGTGCGGTATTGAAGGCACTGAAGACGAAGCGATAGGTACACAAGAGCAGGCCAAAACTGAAATCGCACTTGTCCCGCCGGAAGCCTCTCGAATCAGCGAAGGCCACGCAGGTTCGTCGGGGGGCAAGCAAGAGTGTGTAGTTACTAGTTCTTGCACGAAACTCGAAAAGGAGTCGGAGGGCATGAATACGCCATAGAGCGGGTACACACAGGAATGGTTATGCTCCTGGTGTGTTCGTTTGCGGGCGGCCAGGGCCTATGCCGTTGGAGATGGTCCAGTATCCGCCGGATGGTCTGCGACGATCCGATTTAGTCAAAGGTATGGACCGTTGTCAATGAGGAAACAGAGACTTGCCTGATACCGAGGATCTCGTAGCAAGCCCTTCCAACTCGTCCGAGTCAGCTCCAGTTGATGACTTGTAGGATAAGCAATGAGCTCCAGTTTTGCGGGCGACGGTGGAGATGGGGACAGCGAGTTTCGCAGAGCTTCCACCGCAGATGTGGACGGAGAAACGAAGCTTGTAACAACTAACCCCGTTAGAACAGCCCGCTGTAGCAGCTCCATAGTCTACACGACCTTTCAGTATAATCGCGCTGGGGAACAAACGCGCACCTAGCCAACTAACTCGACTCTGCGCCTGCATTTGAAGTGATTATAGGACTTGAAGTCTTCGTTGGCCAAAGTAGCTGTGGAAAGCTGAGCGGAGCAAGAGCGGAGGCGGAAACGAAGCACGAAAAACGCACCAGTGAACAGCCAGCCTCTCCACTACCTACGTGCCGTCCATCTCTTCCGCCCGTTGCATGGTCTGGGGGACCGAGTTCGCGCAGAACGGTGCGCTGTTGAGGTGTTCGGTCTCGAGCTGAGAACTTCGGGCGGATTTGGGTGGAGATTATGTCGACAAGTGGTAGTGATGAGGATGAACGGAGGCGGTGGATATGAGCGGGGGTTGTTCGCAGTACCCGGGAGGGTTGAGCGTGGAGTGGGTGGGTGGGTCGCGGGGAGGGCAGGTGGGGTTGAGGGGAAGGACAAGAAAAGATTCGCGGTCACGTCACCAGTGGACACTAACTCTCTTGGCTCAAACCACCACGACCAACGCAAGAAGCTCCGCGCAAGAGGGAGAGCAGACCCTTGGTACACTCGCATGTGTCCTCGTTGCCTTACTGAACACCTTTCGCCTAGCCACACTGTGACGGACTGCAAAACTTCGAGCACAAGTGGATTACCGATCTAGATCGGGACGCTTCTCACATCTTGCCTCTTGTCGCCACCTCACTCGACATGTTTTCCTCATCCCCTGTACTGCGCGACACCCACCTCCATTCCTCGCTTACTCCCCCCCAAAATGCGCCTGCTTCCGCCCCGATTCTCCGCCTCCGACGATTTAGGCGGACATCGACATCGGGGGGATCCGAACGCGAGAAGACGCTCTTTCCGTTGAGCTGGTCCAGCGCGCTCTGCTGCGCGCCGGGAACACCCCGCTCCGCGTCAAGCTCGACGTGCCCCAGACCTACGATGCACAAACGTGCCGGCCCATCCGACGACAAATTTTCGCTTTCTTAAGCATGTCTTCAGAGCGTTGGCGAGCGCTCTCGCTGCGTGTCGACCCCTTACAACTACTGGAACTTGCGCCTATCCGCGGGAAACTGCTTTTGCTCGAGCGGCTAGAGCTGTCCCGGGGCAGTAATGCCAACGACAGAAAATTCTTCGTGGACTGCAATCTTTTCGAATTCGCGCCCGCCTTGCGGAGCTTTACGTTCGAAGACTTTCCGCCTCGCGTCCCGTGGCAGCAGCTCACAGAGGTTCGGCTGAAGATCACTTCAGGATTCCGCAGCCACCTCCACAAGTCTGTTTATAACGCGCTCTCATTCATCGAGCACTGCTCCGCTTTGTGCAGCGTTATGGTCTGGGGTATCACCCCGCCTTTCCACAAGACCCAGGAGCAACTTGCCGACTGGCCCACTAAGCCGCTATTTACTTCACCAATTAGGTCCTTTTATCTCGGGACCTTACCCCGCAACGACGAGCAAGCCCAACTGGCGGGACGCATTTTCCGCCTGCTCGATCTCCCGAATCTCGCCGAATTCAAACTCCAGTCGACATTTCTTGTGGTAAATTACTGGGACCCCGCGGCCTTCACCGCGTTCGCTCACCGCTCGTCGAATATAACCGTTCTGCATCTGCGCGATGTTTATATTTCCCCGCCCGCGCTGCTTCAGGCACTCGGCCAAGTGCCGCGGTTGGAGGATCTTGCTGCTGGGGACACGCACTTCAAGTTGCAGGAAGCGTACCATTTTGCGATCACGGACGAGGTCCTGCACGCGCTGCTCGAGCCCGGGCCCAGTCTGGTGCCAAATCTGCGCCGCCTGGAGATTACGTCTTTCCTCGAATTCGACCACGGTCTCTTGCTCGACGTTATCAGGCTTCGCGTGCGCGCGCGGAGTACTGTCAACTTGAATGCGGGTGGGGCGTTTGTCTTCCGTGCGGTGTTACTGGCGATGACGAAGGAGCAGGCGGAGTATCGTGAACTGGCGAATGAAGGGCGACTCCGGCTTGAGCGGGAGCTCCGGGATGGGTGTGTAGAGGGTTTGCGATTCACGATCGACATGGGGGTCTGATGACCACTTGGAGTGAATGGACAGTATGCACGCAAAAGTGATGCTTCAAGTTGGTATACGCAAGAATGGCCACAGCCTGAGTTTTGAGCTGAGGCTCTTTAGACTTTTAATTGTACTGATTTTTGGACTCCGGAGTCCGCCCCCGTCAATCGAGCATGCAGCGACGCTGTGCAGGAGTCACCCTGGTACGATGCAAGCTCACAAGCATGCATATGCATCGCTGTCGCTCGTTCGTGCCAATCTTCGTCATCAAAGCAAAACCGATTTTTTTTTTCTGCTGACTCATCAGCGTGACACATTCTCTGCTCGGCCACGACGACCGACCCAACGGGGGGACCTCTCCGGGCTGTAGACACGGCAGCACACGGTTGGCCGTATGCCAATAAGTGATATGATTTGCTTTATTCCTCATCGCAACGTTTTCTGAGCCAGTTATAGCTGGGATGGAGTTTTCGACAACAGCTCAATTCAAGCTCAAAGACACCGATTCCGACAACTGTGGCGACTCCATGGCGATACTTGAGAAAAAAAAAGCGCTGAAGGAGATCACAAGTGACGATTACATGGGTGGTAGAGCCGCTGGATGAAGCGCGAATCGAGAATTTGGGGCCTGCAGGACCCAGGTATGTCTGTCGGTCATGCCCTGCTTCACTTCGCTTTCTTCGCGCTCAACGCGTCTGCTTCATCCGGCTCACAGATAGCGCTTCGACTGACTGAACGGGCTTGCGCTGCCTCAGCAAATGCCAAACACCAGCTGCTCATTCGACACCTCTTTCCCTCCTCCTCCTCGTCTACAAGCCCGCTCGACGACGGAGGGTATTCGCTTGCGACGCGGGTATTAAAGGGGATGGAGGACGCAAGACGGCTTTTATAACGGCTTTTACTCGTGAATAGCAGTGGGCTGGCGGATTGTGGTCCGTGGAGGTGGGATTGCGTGCTGCATGTGTGCGGCCTGAGCTTGGGCCACGCAGGGAGGCGCACCGCCCATACGTGTGTCGACTTCGCTGATGTCTTCAACCTCCGCGTACTGACTAACTTCAAGGACGGCTTTTTCTTCCGCTGTTGGCGACTTCGTCCTATTGCAACATTGCAGTCATACATTTCGGCGTCAAACTGCGTTATGGTCGCCCATAATCCTCGACAGCACGTCATTAGACAATATGGTGATATATTCAGGGGCCAATTCTCCATGCGGGGCGGAGTCTGCGTCGTTATAGCCTGCCTGTTTGGACCGACTGTTTTGGTGAGTTAGTTCTTTCCTTCTTCGTGGCGCTTATTCCTGTCCAGCTCATCCAACACCACTACAGTATATCACCATCGCGACCGCATTGCTCCTGCGTGAGCGGCTCTATGCTCATTCGACCAGCCATTCATTGCTGTTCTTTCATTGCGCCGCAACCACTTCGAAACTGCCGACCATGGACCTCCTTGTTGTCCAATAACTCCTCTCATCTCTCGTCGTCATGGTCGTTCGCTATGATGGACGAAAGCACCGTTCGAGGCAAAGAAAGGCGCCCGCGGCCCTTGTCGGTCGGCCCGCTTGGTGCATAGTTTGTTGGTGGTACTGGTTGCGGCTTTTTTGCACGATTTAATGCCTCCAGCCGCAATCGTTTCGACAGTTTCCAATGCGATCGTTCCCTTGCTGGCCGCTTCTGTGTTTGCGAAGGATACTCCAAATTTTGCCACTTGCTTATTTTGGAAAGGACCTGAAAGACTTTTGTGCACTTTTACTGATGTCGACACCATTTTGTCCTTTCATCGTGTAAGCTTACTTGCTCCAAGCTAGTCCCATGATCCTCGTCTCCGGAGGCCTATGCTCGTCAACTTGGGTAAGACCTTGTTCCTCCGATATACATTGTCCATCCTTGCTCTCCATTCGCGGCGGTCATCGTGGTCGAGAAGAGAATTTGTCACACTGATGAGTGATCATGAGTCCGCACCTTTCGGTTTTCTGTCGACGACGATTGGCGCAATTCCGGACACGGACAAGCAGCAGGGATGCCTTGTGCGCTTGTGTTATACTGGGGTGATTCCTGCCAGTGCACAACGTCGCTGCATGCAATGCTCGACTGGGGGCGGACTCCGGAGTCCAACTAGTAAAATAGTGAACTAAAGTTACTTGAAGGTTTGCGTGCATAATGTACAATCACCCCGAACGACTATAAGACATCGGCGTCGACCGTGAATCGCAACCCCTCTACACACCCATCCCGGAGCTCCCGCTCAAGCCGGAGTCGCCCTTCGTTCGCCCGCTCACCATAGTCCACTTCATCCTTCGTCATCGCCAACACCACCGCACAAAAAACAAACGCCCCACCGGCAGTCACGGGACTCTGCACGCGTTGCCTAAGGACCTCGAGCAGGAGACCGTAGTCGAATTGGAGGAAAGACGTGATCTCCAGCCGGCGCAGATTCGGCACCAGACTGAGCCCGGGCTCAAGCAGCCCGCGCAATACCTCGTCCGTTATCGCAAAATGGTACGATGTCTGCAGGTGCGTGTCCCCAGCAGCAATATCCTCCAACAGCGGCACTTGGCTGAGCGCCTGCAACAGCGCGGGCGTAGAAATATAAACATTGCGCAGATGCAGAACGGTCATATTCGGCGAGCGGTGAGCGAATGCGGTGAAGGCCGCGGGGTCCCAGTAATTTACCGCAGGAAACGTCGACTCGAGTTTGAATTCGGCGAGATTTGGGAGGTCGAGCAGGCGGAGGAGGCGGCCCGCGAGCCGGGCCTGCGCGTCGTTGCGGGAGAACGTCGCGAGAGAAAGCGACCGAATTGGTGATTTGAACAGCGGCGTGGTGGGCCAGTCGTCGAGCTGCTCCTGGTCCTGGTGATAAGGCGGGGTGATCCCCCAGACCACAACGCTGCACAAAGCGGAGCAGTGCTCGATGAACGCGAGCGCAGTATAGACAGCTTTGTGGAAGTGGCCGTGGTATCCTGAGGTGATCTTCATCCGCACCTCTTTGAGCTGGTGCCACGCGACTCGGGGAGGAATGTCTTCGAACGTAAGGCTCCGCAATGCGGGCGCGAATTCGAACAGATCGCAGCCCGCGAAAAATGTTCTGTCGTTGGCGTTGCTGCCCCGGGCCAGCTCTAGCCGCTCGAGGAGGGGCAGCTTCCCGCGGATAGGCGTGAGTTCCAGTGATAGCTGTAAGGGGTCGACACGCAGCGAGAGCGCCCGCCAACGCGCTGAAGACATGCTCAAGAAAGCGAAGATCTGTCGCCGAATGGGCCGCCCCGTTTGTGCATCGTAGGTCTGGGCCACGTCGATGTTGACGCGGAGCGGAGTGTTACCGGCGCGCAGCAGAGCCCGCTGGACTAGCTCAACGGAAAGAGCGTCCTCTCGCGTGGGTATCGCCCAGACGCAGATGTCTGCCCAAATGGTCGGTGTCCCCATGATAACGCTGTGCCAGTGGGAGCAAACGGCGGACAGCGCCAGCCACTGCGCCTTCATGAGAATGGCAATCGGCGCCTCGTCGTCCCACGGGTTGTCGGTGACACAGCGTGCGAGAATAGCGAGGAGAAGTTCGGTTGGGAGGCGGAGAATTGGGGCCGAAGCAGGCGCATTAGGCGGGGGAGGAAGCGTGGAATGGTGGTGGGCGTCGCGCAGCAAAGTGGGTGAAGAGGGCATGGCGAGTGAGGTGGCGACAAGAGGCAAGACGTGAGAAGTGTCCCGATCAAGCCTCAGATCGGTTGTAGATAGCACAGTGGGAATGGGGCGAGCGCTCTGGCCGGTGAGCTGGGTTTGAGTGTCAGCACACTGAAGGTGAGAAATGAAAAGCGTACCGCTACGAGGCTCCTGCGGCCATGTATTCCGATAATCCACTCGTGCCCCAAGTTACTAAGCGAAGTTTATTGCAGCCCGTGCGAACTTGAAGCCTTGACAGGGTGGCGAGGCGAAAAGCGTTCAGGACGACAGAGAAGATATCTCTTCTTCTCGAGTTTCTAGTGCTGGTGGTGGTTTGAGCCAAGAGAGTCAGCGTCAAGTGGCGCGTGACCGCGAATCATTTCTCGTCCTTCCCTTCAACCACCCCGCGACCCACCCACTCCACGCCCAACCTTACCACCTACTCCGAACAACCCCGCCCGTGCCTCCCACATCCGCCCACCCCGGGCCTCATCACCACCACACCATCGACTCCATCCAAACCCGGGCCCGCCCTTCCCAGCCTCGAGGCAGCACTCTTCAGCGGCGCAGCGCCGTTTTTCACGGACTTGGTCCCCCGAACTATGGTGGGAGAGATGGACAGCATATAGGTGGCGGAGAGGCAGGGTCGGCCATTCAATGGTGCGTTTGTCGTGCTTCGTTTCCGCCTCTGCTCAGCTTTCGACAGCTGCTTCGGCCACCGAGGCCGCTGAGTCCTAAAACTACTCCGAACATATGCAGGCCCAGAGCCGAGTTGGACTGGCGAGGTGCGTGTTTGTTCCCCAGCGCGATTAAGTATACTGAAAGGTCGTGCAGCGTCTAGAGCTGCTACAGCATGCTCTTCTAATAGGAAGTCGGCTACGGCAAAGACATTGCGTCGACTGAAGGTCGGTTTGCCAACCCTCTTTTCTCCGCCCCCAAACTCATTGTTCCAGGCTTTGGGTTCTCCTTCCCTATCTGCGGCGAAACTCCTACCGGCATCTCGCTGTCCGGGCCTGTCCCCATCTCCACCATCGCCCGCAAGACTCAGGCTGGAGCTCGTTGCTTATGATGCAAGTAATCAATTGAAGCTAACGAGTTTCGCAACAAGGTGCTAGGTCTGAGGTAAGTCTCCGTTTCATCGACGTTCCATGCCTTTACTAGTAACTGAATTGGATTATCACAGACCTTCTCCGACCTTGTCGACAGGCATAGGCTCTGGACGCCTGCCAACGAGGAAAGCGGGAATGATATGTGGAAGGCCTGGAGCACAACTATTCCTTTCAACGTGTGTGTGCACCTGCTCTACGGCTGCGTTTTCATGGGCTCTGACCCGTCTTCAAGTTCCGTCCAAGAACTATGGACCCTTGCTTGCTCCCCGATGAACCTGCGTGGCCTTGGCCGACTCAATGGGGAGGGAGCGCCGTCCGCCGGCACCAGTGCGATTTCAGTTTTTGCCTCGTCTTGTTGTTTACCTATCGCTTCGTCTTCAGTGCCTCAAATACCTCACTGGGGCATCCGCATTATCTCCGGATATGATACCAATGGACCTCAATAAGAAAGGGTATGTCGCTTTGACAATGGTCCTCCATTATCTCTGACACGAAGACAGCTGCCGTCACTCCAGTCTCTGGCCATGCAAGCGGCAGGACGAGCCCCGCCTCGCACGCCGCATGTCGGAGTAGGCTATGGTGGACGGATGTGCGATAGAGTCTATGGGGGAGAACAGCGAAGCTAACAGGATGACGATATTGGGCTAGGCGAACGCAACTGCGGGACTTCGGTGCGTGGTTCAACTGCTTGTCTCTGGTAACCCATACCAGCGTTCTATTCTTCTATCTTGCCCGTCCTCTTCCATAACTAAGAGTATAATGAGTCGTAAGTATGATATATATGGGAGTAGTACTGGGTAAAAGTTTCTATGGTTGTAGATAATGTCCACGAAGAAAGAACGGAACGTGTAGAAAAGTATTGAAACGATTGAAATGAAGGATGAATGAATATAAGTGGGCTCGCTCGAAAGTCAACGACGAAAGGGACAGGGAATAGTGTGATGGTGTCGGAAAGCGATGACCAGAAGGAATGGGACTCGTGCAGCGACTGAGCGAGTGACCAGGCAATCAATACCTCAAGGGTCTGCGAGCAAAGGCCAGAGGACGACCACGACTGCTGATCTCTGCTGATGGAAGAGAGCCCCAATTGCTCCGGAGGAAGGAAAGTGGTGGTATATATATATATATATATATCGCTGACAGAGACTGTGATATCGAAACGATTGGCGCACAGGGAACGGCAGGTTGAGAGATGACGGGTAGGATGGGGACAAAGTCGCAGGAGCGAAGTCGTTAACGGCTAACGGGGTTGATATGAAGCCGAAGGAGGGCCATATGTTGATGAAGGGAATGAGACTGGAGGAGAACGAATGAGCTCAGGGGAAAGGGATATAAATTTTGTCGATTGACTTAAATAGAAGTATCTGCCTTTGTGCCCATCCTTCCTAAGCATGGACACGACCGGCGATAGAGATATTACGTGGAAATCGGGGGCAGTTGCGGTTGGGGGCATGGAATGATTTCCGACTTCGCTTCGTCGTCACCCAAAACGACCGCGATGATGACCTTGAAGACCTGGAATTGCTTCGAAGGCCGCTTTTCGCTTGTTTGAATCATGCAAGGAGTCGCGGTGGCGCATGTACAGGTCACCAGGAAGTCGTCTTTCTTCGCTCCGAGGGCGAGAACGTGTCGGTCGTAGGACACACACATGACAGAAGAGGTTATGCGGGGTCCGTGGCATAGGGATGAGGTCCAAGTTCTCAAACGAATTCTCGTAGAGAAAGCAAGCGGCAGGATGGACGGGAATGGAGGAATGTGTGAAGGTGAGACAATCCTCGTCTATAGGATATTGAATGTCGACGGAGATGGTATAGTCGGAGATTCAGCTGGGGGACTGTCAGGGAGACGAAAAACAGGCCCAAAGTAAAAGCTTCAACTAACCCGAAATAAAGTCGATGAGACCTGAATCCACCCCAATATTTAACATTTGCGATTGAAAACGTTGTAGAGTTTTCCGGTGATCGTTCGTCTGTCTTCCAGCTCGAGTAAGGTGTCCCGGGACCATAGAATGACCCTTCGTGAGACGGAATACACTCCAATAACGCCCAGCGACAAGAAATACTGCACCAGGTCCGCTTTCGTGAGGCGACAGCCTGCTCCAGAAATGCCGCCCAAGGACCACGTTGTTGACCGATTTGGCGGGCGACAACCGTTTAGTAGTTAGGGAAGCATGCGACAAGGATGGAGCTCGGGTCGATAGAGTGTCAAAGCGCGAATGAGGAAAGCTGTTTGGTCTTCTTGACCGCCATATAAGGTCACGTGCAAAATCCGAGACGGGAAGGATGGCCATTTGAGCTGAGCGGATGAGCATGGTGGTTTACGCCATTGCATGTCGAATGTGGAGGCGGAGATGAGGCTGCTACGTATACGTAGGCGCCCAGATGGAAAGACCATTCCAAAAGCGATTTGGCGTCGTTTTTTGGAATACGTTGGTGGTCGAAGCCCCATATGAGAATGAGTAGCGGCGGTGCTGGAGCCAGGAGGATACAGTCAAAAGAAGGCGTCCTTTGTCGACAATGGACATTGACAGGAATAGCGAGCGCAGACCGTTCTTCGCGGACAAAAAGCGTGTCGCGAATATGACGACGGCCGCAGCGGGCCGCTTCGAGTGGAGAACGGGGCCGGGCAAAAGGACATTGCCTATGGGAGAAGACAGAAGAAGAAGATGTCGATGTCGATGGAAGCCCTCCGTGTTTGTGTCCGAATTGGCGAAACTGGGAAGGCCGAGTTGTAAATAAAATGCGCAGGCTGCGACAGTGTATCCTGGATACGGCGGCAACAAAGCCGCGACACTGACAAGCAGGACATGGACGCAATGGATCATTGAGGTAATGGTGGAGCATCTGGGAGACAGATGAGGCGATAGGGTATTGACTAGAATGGGGAGAACTTTGGGCGTGAATGCGGTGGCATGACTATTGCACGATTTTTCAGCGGTGGCTGGGGGAAATAAAAGGCCGAAGGACTGGCTATGGATTTGGGACTGGAAAAGTGAGATCAGACGTCTGCGAAAGGGTTCTAGATATTGCGCACACACCCTTAGTATGGGCAGGCTATCACGAATCCCCTTTCCTCGTTAGCCCAGCCATTTTGATATCTCCCGCTTAGCGCTCAGTGAATGAGCGTCTTCTGCAGTGCGCGCAGCAGAATCGGGGGTATTGGTAATATGAAGATGTGGGACCGTCGCTGCCACGGATTGAGAGCAGGATTGGCAAGAAGAAACACAACGCACCTTCACTGTGGTGCCCACATGGTGTCTGTAGTTTTTCGATGGCGTAAGCCTGAGCGTGCAGAGAAGGCATATGTTTGTAGATAGCGCTGATACGGACGTGCGGATGATGCGGGGCCATCGCGATGGGCGTTTGCGACAAGAAGGAAGTCACATTTGTAACTCTTCCTGGACGATGATGACGCCCGACCCGCTGGACCTCCCTGAGCTCATCTGATATCTTGTCCGAAAACTTGCTCTCGCTTGCCGCCCAATGTGGGTGGCCCAAGCCTACTTATTCTTCGGCTCGCTTCGATTTCCAGGCGATTTGGACTCTTGGCTGCGGCGTAGAACTTACAGTTCCAGTATCTTCTACTCTCTTCTTGGTAGCGAGGGGCCCGTAAGTATTGCCATGGATGAGTTGCTGTCGACCTGCTGTGAAGGCGTCTCCTGAAGGCATCGCAATTGTCAATCTCATCCACATACAAGCCAGAGGGCGTCTTTCCCAAGTTGCACTGGCGGATATCGCAAGAGAAACTAACCATCCGCCTACGTAGCAACCTTTACGTGGTAACTGCCTAAAACGACCAACAGCGATGAATGTTTACCTTAATAGTACTGCAATCTGCCAATCTAGCGCACCTTTTTGTGCCTCCTGCAGACGACGTCGCCTTCAAGCTCTCGTT